TATAGTCAATACGCTCGATCCGCTGGTTGTTGTTGATTACTAGCTAGAGATATCAGGTGAAATGTACGGTAGCCGAGTAGCTGAAAGTACGGGATTCAAGTCCCACTCTTGTTATTATTTTGTTATTTTTATTATTTGTGCATCTTATAGAATTTTTTTTTTCTTCGTATTTCATTATTTATAACTTTTTTTGTTGTAAATTGGGACAGCAGTTAAAAAACATAAACAAAATCTTACTTCTCCAATCCAAACAAGGCCTAGCATAGGTCTCAAGTACGGTAGCAAGCCCATTGGCCTTCCGGGCTGCTTCCAGTCCGCTTGCCAGAATTTGACACATGGTCGGTACGCTCGAGTCGGTCCGCGGTCAATCCGCTCTATTAAGCCTGGCTCGAGTTGACTTGTCAGTTGCGACAAAACTATTCAATTCAATATAAAGTTTATTTCCACATCATCAATACAAAATACATAGACGGAGAAATACATAAGGGTAAAAAAAAAAACAATAATTGATATGAATGTAAGCCCATCAGAACATTTGAATAAAGTGGAAAAAAGGTCGCCACAACAAGCAAGCTTTATAACGGGCGCCCATTGATTATGAAATAAAATTAACAACTATATCACAAAAAAATAAATTTTATAAATAAAGTAACAATAATCATTGAAAATTCTGAAGAAAAGTTATAATATGATTACATACAGCACAATTATTTATACAATGATTTGCATTACACTTATAGTTTTCATAGTAATGGTTATTTAAATTTCTTTTGAATTTATAAATACTATTACTGAGTCTTAATTCTACATTGATATCGTTCCAGATTTTAGGCCTTATATATGTTAAGCCCTTTTGTCCCATATTTGTGTTCTTTTTTGTTATACACAAGTTATCTTTATTTCTTGTACCATATCTGTGTACAGAGCCATAAGTCTGAGGGGGTGAGTGGAGCGATTCGAGTCTCACTTGGGTGGGGGACAGGGGGCCGCCTACGCCCCCTGGAAGCCATGGATATTTGATGAATTTTGGCGAATTTTTATTACTTATTTGATAGGCATCGAGTTACTATAATATGACATCATGTAGGCTATGCTTTCTAATGTTGACATCAGCTTCCGAAACCAAAACATTTTGATTGAAACAAGAAACAAAGAGTATGCAATGTAACCATCTAATTAAGTGAAATACTATATTTTGGAATTTTTGCATGAAATCTGTCAACCACGCTTTCATGGTCGAGGTTGCTTTACCTATCACGATGTAATCCAACCATCATGAGGCTATCTAACAGAACGCAAATTAGTTTTAATTAGTCTCATTGAATTATTATTATTATTATTATTATTATTATTATTATTATTATTATTATTATTATTTTATTTCTTATTGTTATTGTTGTTGTTTTTGTGATGAAAAGTTAACACAAACAATATGGTGGCGAATATTACATATACATATTTTTGTTATTTGTTTGTTCCCCGACAAAACTTATCGTCTTCCCCAGCCACCCCTGGCGCCACCACTACAACAGAAGCGCAATGATCATGGCGTTGTACGTGGTTCAAAAGTAAGTTTTGTTTCAATGAGAAACCAGCAATTATATTATAATATAATATAATAATAATAATTATTATTATTATTATAAGTCAATCGTGACGTCATCACTGTAACTCCCAAAATGTTATTTGCCTATTCCCCAGCGTCCATCGTGTGCAATAAAAAAATTCCTCATTTTTTCGTCACCGCGATAAAAATTGAATTAATTGAAAATTACTTTCGTAAAACAAGAAAGTTAATTCAAATTCAATATTGAATATGAACAATTAAGTAATTCATTGAATCAATGGACCCTCATAAACACAACAAACTGAACGTTTAATAGGAATATTCTAGACCTATTTTAAAGACTCAAGGAACAAATTTAGATGTAGGCCTACGGCCAGGCAGGAGGCCGCCCAGGCTTCCTATTACTACTAGGCCGTTGCCCCGGCCGTAGCCTGGCTAGTTATGAAATCATCGCACGATTTTACCTGTCTGCATGCACCGACCAAAAAGGACGCCAGTGACTTTATTCTCTCTCGAATGCTGAAATGTTTATTTCTTTGACGAAAGTCTACCAAAACAGCATTACAAACAAGTCCTTTTTAACACAACACAAATTACAATAGTTATTCATCGTATCCGTACTGTACTGCTGATGTGTAGTTAAAGCCCCATTCCCGGCAAAATTTCAGTTTTTAAGAAAAATCTAATTTTTGTATAATGTTATAAAGATTTATAAATATAATACGGAATTGCTAGTTTAACTGAATTTAGACATTCCTAAGAATGAAAAAAAAATGTAAAATAAGACTGAAATTTGATTTTTTGTGTTCCACATAAAAAATAAATGCGGATGAATTTTTCATTTTAAACAAACATATCTCAGCCTTAATCGAACGACCGCATTGTGCGAGATACGAAGTACAAAAACTAATCTCATTAGAGAGGGCGCACTTTATTGACTGTATAAAAGCATACATAAAAGCGAGAGTATTCCAGTGGATGCGATCTACAACCTCTGAATTTGCCTAGTAACGATGAATTCGTCCAGAAAATGGTAATATTTTATGAGAAATAGTCTGTATTTCTCATTTTTTTTATTCTTTTGCGTAAACTAAAATTCATGCCAATATTTTTCCATGATTTGTAATAATTGGAGTAATGCAAATGAATATTTTCTAAAAAAAAGTCAGTTTCGTGAAATTTTGCCGGGAATGGGGCTTTAAACAAACATATCTCAGCCTAACCGAACGACCGCATTGTGCGAGATGCGAAGTACAAAAACTAATCTCTTTAGAGAGGCGCACTTTATTGACTGTATAAAGTATACATAAAAGCGAGAGTATTCCAGTGGATGCGATCTACAACCTCTGAATTTGCCTAGTAACGATGAATTCGTCGAGAAAATGGTAATATTTTATGAGAAACAGTCCGTATTTCTTATTTTTTTTTATTCTTTTGCGTAAAACTAAAATTCATGCCAATATTTTTCCATGATTTATAATAATTGGAGTAATGCAAATGCATATTTTCTAAAAAAAGTCAGTTTTTAGTGAAATGTTGCCGGGAATGGGGCTTTAATTAAACGCGTACTGCAGGAGGAAAAATCAGCATACGCACAGCTAAATGTAAATACGCACACGTATACTGATCATATCACATAGCAACCGATGACTGCTACAACAGTTGGTTATAAAAAACTAAAATTAAAAGATGGCGATTGACTTATAAAGCAATTAGTAGAGCATGCATCGTACACTAAATGGAAAATTATTATAGTTAGGTTAGATTTTCCTATAGTTTACTATGCGGAGCTCTACTAATTGCTTATTATCAGTGGGTGATACTGGTGTTGATTTCTGTTCAGTTCTATATATTGATATTGGATTTATTTTAAATACAGTAGAAATACATAATTACGAACCCCGACTGTAATTCTAATAAATTGGTGGTAGCAGCTCCGACACCACATACTCTGAATACCAAAGACTTTCCAAGTTAAGTTTCAAGAAGTACATTGGCTATTATCAATTGCTTTTCAACAAATTAAAACGAAATTCTTTCCTGTAAGACGAGTTTTGTTTTCCCATGTAATGTTATGTGTAAGGTTGTGTTTCTAGGGGCAGATGTGCAAAAGGGGTGCCGAAAGTGGGGCTGATCGGGAAAACCTTACTATA